TGTGAAAATAAAGAGTAATGAGCTGATCCACCTGTGGTGCAGAGTGGAGTGTCTTACCCTCAGTTAGCCTCCCTAAAGTGTCTGATATTAGTGTTAGCATTCCTGTTACTACTCTCATTGTCATTGTCCTCATCATCTCTATAAAGACTTAGGAAGCAAAACTTCTCTCAATGGTGTCTATGATATTTACATTGCAAATGAATCAATGTCCCTGGAAATGGAAGAGTTCACCTGACCTGTAAAACTCCTGAGAGATAATGATTTTAATAACATTCTGTAATGACTATTTTGATTTCTTTTTAAAAAATATATTTTATTTATTCATGAGAGGCACAGAGAGAAAGGCAAAGACATAGGCAGAGGGAGAAGCAGGCTCCGTGCAGGGAGCCTGATGCAGGACTCACCCCGAGCGGAAGGCAGACGCTTAACTGCTGAGCCACCCAGGCGTCCCAACAATTTTGATTTCTTGTTTGGGTGGTACTTTCCTGTACTTTGAAACCTTCACTAAGCAAATGCTACGATTACCCAGTTTTGGTAATTTGTGCCTTCTCCATCAGATAGAGCAATTTGGTTGATTCTTCCTCCCACTACTACCTCAAACACCATGTCAATATTTCACAAAGACCATGAAGAATCAGTTTTTTGAATAATGCACATTTATGTTCTGCCATTTACAAATAGCTCTTCTACTACAAGAAGGACCAACTGTTCCTTTGTCTTTCATTCAGAGCCAAGAGCAGCTTTTAGAACCTTGGGTAACCCATTCCATTAGGGAGATAGTTCAAGGTCATAGAGAAAATATCTCCATATGTACAAAGAACTCCCTGAGTTTCATAAGTGGAGCTCCTTGTTTTGTGTTAGGGTATCATCTTACTGATGGGTCTTGAATTTTCACAGACTTTCCTCAGTGCAGGTGGATGCAACAACACTCTAGTAAATTCTGTCCTTCCTGTTTGCCATGACTAGAGATCAGCAATTATCTTCTCTTAATAAGCACAACCTCAAGATAACACCTTTGGTATGCCAACCACAGTGATTAAATAGCCTTTGGGAGCACTATGATGTGACCTCAGGACAGGACCAGACTGTCCCTCTTGTTACCTATGAGAAGCAGAACAATTCATGGCTATTAAGGGTGCAGGAAGCATATCATCATTTTCTTTTTTTTTTTTATATCATCATTTTCTATTCAGATGGGGCCACTACTGGAACTGCACAAATCCTATAGGTGCAAATGAAAGTAGTGTGGGGAAGTGCAGAGACGAAATGTAGCTTCCTGGAATTCCTGGGTGGCTCAGTGGTTGAGCCTCTACCTTCAGCACAGGTGGTGATCCCAGAGTCTCAGGATGGAGTCCCACATAGGGCTCCCTATGGGGAGCCTGCTTCTCCCTCTGCCTATGTCTCTGCCTCTCTCTCTGTGTCTTTCATGAATCAATCAATCAATCTTGAAAGAAAGAAAGAAAGAAAGAAAGAAAGAAAGAAAGAAAGAAAGAAAGAAAGAAAGAAAAAATATAGCTTCCTCAGCATCACATTCCTGAAGCTCAAGGATGTGAGAGAGGGGAGCCAGACTTTTACATCTTCTCCAGCAAATGCACATTCTTAGTATGGTAGATCTTTTATCTGAGGTGGAGATGAGAAGAAATAAAACAAATGGACAACTAGAGGTGTTCCTGATATTAAGAAGTTGTGACTTTCAAGAAAACTGCTCCTACATTATTGTTTTCCAGATAGTTCTGAAAGGAGAGATGAAAAAACAGATCCTGAAATGGAAGTATTTTCTGAAACCATAAAAATCCTGGAAGAAAGCACAGGCAATAATTTCTCTGACGTCAGCCGTAATAACATTTTTTTCTAGACAGGTCTCCTGAGGCAAGAGAAATAAAAGCAAAAATAAACTTTTGAGAGTACAGCAAAATAAAAAAAAGCTTCTGCACCGCAACAAAAGACAACCCATGGAACGGGAGAAGATACTTGCAAATGATGTATCTGATAAATGGTTAGTATCTAAAATGTATAACAAATTTATAGAACTCAGGGTACCTGAGTGGCTCAGTTAGTTGAGTGCTGACTGCTGATTTTGTCTCAGGTCATGATCTCAGAGTTGTGAGACTGGGCTCTGGGCTCAGCTTGGAGTCTGCTTGTCCTTCTCTGTCCCCTTCTACCCCTTGCCCCTAGTGCTCTCTCTCTCTCTCTCTCAAATAAATAAAATATGTTAAAAAAAAAGAATTTCTAAAACTCAACAGCAAACACCAAATAATCCAAATAAAAATGGGCAGGATATATGAACAGACATTTCTCCAAAGAAGACATCCAGATGGCCAATAGATACATGAAAAGATGCTCAACATCACCCATCATCAGGGAAATGCAAATCAAAACCACAATGAGATATCACCTCACACCTGTCAGAATGATGAAACTAGAATCACAGGAAAAAGAATATTAGTAAGGATGTGGAGAAAAAGGAGTCCTGTCACACTGTTGGTGGGAATGTAAACTGGTACAGCCACTGTGGAAGACAGTATGGAGGTTTTCCAAAAAATTAAAAATAGAATGACCCTGTGATCTAATAATTGCACTACTGGGTATTTACCCAAAGAATACAAAAACACTAATTTGAAAGGATATATGCACCCCAGCGTTTATAGCATCATTATCTACAATAACCAAATTATGGAAGCAGCTCAAGTGTCCATTGATAGATGACTGGATAAAGAAGATGTAGGGGGTGCCTGGGAGGCTCAGCTGGGTAAGCATCTGACTTCAGGGTCCTGGAATGGAGCCTCAGGTCTCCTCAGGTCAGGCTCCTTCTCAGCGGTAAGTCTGCTTGTAATCTTTCCCTTTGCCCCTCCTCTTGCTTGTGCATGCATGCTCTCTCTCTCTCTCAAATAAATAAAATCTTTTTAAAAAGATGTGGTATAGGGGATCCCTGGGTGGCGCAGCGGTTTGGCGCCTGCCTTTGGCCCAGGGCGCGATCCTGGAGACCCGGGATCGAGTCCCACATCGGGCTCCCGGTGCATGGAGCCTGCTTCTCCCTCTGCCTGTGTCTCTGCCTCTCTCTCTCTCTCTCTCTCTCTCTCTCTGTGACTATTATAAATAATAAAAAAAAATGTGGTATATATGTACAATGGAATATTACTCAGCCATAAAAAATGAAATCTTGCCATTTATAATAACATCAGTGGAGCTAGAGAGTGTAATGCTGAGCAAAATAAGTCTGAGAAAGGCAAATGCCGTATGATTTTACTCATGTGTAGAATTTAAGAAAGAACAAACAAATGAACAAACAAAAAGGAGAGAGAGATCAAAAACAAATTTTAGCTATAGAGAAAAAACCAGTGGTTACCAGAGGGAAGGTGGGTAGGGGATGGGTGAAATAGGCAAAAGGGGATTCAGAGTACACTTCCCTTGATGAGCACTGAGTAATATATGAAATTGTTGAGTCACTATGTGGTACACTTGAAATTAATATAACACTGTATGTTTAATATACACACACATATACAAGAAGAAATTGAAGTATCTCATCTCCCAATTCATTTTTTTAAAGATTTTATTTATTCATTCATGAGAGACGCAGAGAGAGAGAGAGGCAGAGACACAGGCAGAGGGAGAAGCAGGCTCCGTGCAGGGAGCCGGACATGGGACTGGATCCCGGGTCTCCAGGATCGCGCCCTGGGCCAAAGGCAGGTGCCAAACCGCTGAGCCACCCAGGGATCCCTAACCCTACAAATTCATTTTTTAAAAAGATTTTATTTATTCATTTATTTGAAAGAGAGAGAGCGAGAGAGCACACACAAGCAGGGGGAACGGGAGAAGCAGGCTCCCATGGAGCCTAACATAGGGCTTGAACCCTATGGGATCATAACCTGAGCGGAAGGCAGACACTTAACTGACTGAGCTACCCAGCTACCCTCCAGATCTCAGTTTTTTTTTTTTTTAAAGGATTTTATCTATTTATTCATGAGAGACACAGAGAAACAGAGACAAAGGCAGAGGGAGAAGCAGGCTCTCTGCAAGGAGCCTGATCTGGGACCGGATCCCAGAACCCCAGAATCACTACCTGAGCCAAAGGCAGATGCTCAACCACTGAGCCACCCTGAGATCAGTTATGGTCCTTTAGCTCTCCCCTTCAGTTGCCACCTGATAGAGGGTTCCAGGGATGCTTCTCAGTCCCTGGGCATGGTGGAGATACTGCTGCAGTGTGGGAGGATTTAGGTGGGGGCAGTTTGACTCAGATAATCTTAAAGGTGACCTCAGGGATTTGAGAGGAAACGGTCAAAAATGGTAGGTGTGTCTGCTGTATACAGAGGATGCCTGTCACGGAGTGATTCCATCATTGTCAGAATGAAGCCTACTCTCTAGGATCCTAGACTCACGAATCAGCAGGATTGTTATTTTATCGAAACCCAGTTTCCTGATAAGATGGATTAAATCGTATAATCACAAGAAAGGGATGGATCAAGATTTTTCACGTCAGAAGCATTTTCTAAAAGTTAACCCACTTTAAACCCAGAAGTCACTTTTCATCTGAAGCGATGGTTTGTGTTTGGTCCCAACGATGTTTTCCTGAATCTGACGTTTTGGAAGAACGCCCACCTAATGCATCCCTGGTTATCTGCTCGTGCACCTTTTTGGCAAAACTGCCATGTCAGACCCTGGTGGCCAACAAAGAGCTAGACTAATTATTGCGTCTGGAGAGCTGACGTCTAAGTGTCTGCAAAGGGAAGGTCAGACCTCTCGGTGTGAGGGCAGCTCCAGGTTCCGGCGAACACGTTCCGGGACAGGGAGCCTCTGGCCGCGGTGCGGCTCAGACACCGAACCTCCGGCCCCGCTGTCACTCAGGCGTGAGGGGGCGAGGCCTTGCGAGCTGACCAATCAGGGGCGGCGGTGGCGGGGGTGGGTGGGGCGACGCTCCGCCACCACCCCGGACGTCGCGGCTCCTTTCAGCCTCCCTGGGGATCGCGGGTCGCCCGTATTTAAAGGTGCCACGTTTCTCTGCCGCCGTTTCTTTCGCGCCGTGAGCCCGACCGTGCGCCGCATTCTAGGGAGGGCCGCCGGGGAACCCAGGAGACCTTGCAATGGTGAGCGTGCCTCGTGGGGTGCAGAGACGGGCGCTGAGGGGCCGGTTGGAACCGGCCGGAACTGGCTGTGGCGGGACCCCCGCGGTCACCTCCGGAGTATGCGGGTCCGCGGCGCCCCTAGGGCTGGGATCCCCTCCGGCGCGCGGCGACTTCGGCCCTGGAGCCTCAGGGCAGCTCTGCGCCCGCAGCCGCGTCTCCTCCGACTGTGCGGTGACGGCGAGGAGAGTCGTCAGGGGACCGTCGTGACTCCTCGTTCGTGCGTGGGAGCGGCTGCGGTCGGTGGGGTCCCCGGTCCCTGCTTTCCCCCCCGCGGGGGGCCCGTTTGCTCCTGAGCGTTCCAGATGTTTGGGAGGCTGGGTCTGCAGTCTGGGCCCCTGCCCCCTCAGCCCAGCTCTCCCCTGGGCAGGCAATAAATACCTCCTTTTCCAGTTCCTTCCCGCCGGCCCTCACGCCAGCTTCCCTTGGCCAGTTCACAGCATCGTTATCAACCATTGGTCCCACGGGTCTGTTTCAAACAGGTCCAGTATTTTAGTTCATTGTTTAGCCACAGTCAATGAGTAGCTGTTTTCTTTTCTTTTCTTTTCTTTTCTTTTCTTTCTTTTTCTGTGTGGATATTTTTACTTGAGAGAAACGCCGAGAATAATCACCCGGAGTTACTTTGTATGAAATCCGTGTGCTTCCCCACCTCCCCCAGGACGTGTCCTGGGCACCGACACCCTGTGGGAAGTACTTTGGGGGTGTGTGTGTGTGGTACCTCTTTGAAACTTTCCCGGGTCTTCTGTCCTGTCAGCAGAGTTCAGGCCCGCGCTGCCCCGCTCTGAGTAAGTCGCTTTTAAAAGACTTATTCAAAAAAAAGAAAGAAAAAAGATTTATTCATTTTGTTCTAGTCTTTGTTTTTCAGTTTTTAAAGATTCACGTACTCAGTAAGAGCTTGAAAGACAGTATGAAATATTTCCAAAGAGGCAAGAAAGAGGTAACTTCAGAGAAATATACGCCAGGACTACATTGTGGGTATTAAAAGATTCTTGTTTCCCGTTTCATGCCCCAGCATGGCTAGTAGTGTTCTGAGGTTGGTTCTTTTACTTCGGATGAGTTCAAATGGATTTCCAGGGCTTAGATTTGCAGACCAGAAGTGTTCAAGTATGATTAAGAGCTTATAAAACAGTTACTTGCCGTGTAAGTAGTAAATAACACCCTTTTCCCCCCAGGAATGCAAGAATTAACTGGTGGAGGTTCTTGTTGAACTAGCAGAGTGCCTTACAGTTTTTGTCCCTCTTTTCCACATAAGTGCACTGGGTTTGGGTGATTTTGCTGGACTCTTCAAATTGTGGGTTCTGGTAATATAAAACACCAGTGGTGTCCAGCTCACTTTCAGGAGGAAGCAGAAGTTTGAGGTCAGGGTCTCTAAGCCGAGACTCCCTTATTAGGTCTTGTTTTTTTTTTTTGTTTTTTTTTTTAAGGTGAATTTTGTACCCAACGTGGAGCTTGAATTTACATTCCCTGAGATGGAGGGTTGCATGTCTCTGGATTGAACCAGCTAGGTGCCCCTTAAGCTAAGATCCCTTTAAACCGGAGAAGGCAAATAACTTTTGAAGGCCCAATGGTTCTGGGGGTCCTTCTTCTAGCGGGTATCCTACTTGCTCACCCACCAGGGAAGGAGCAGTTTATTCTGAGAGAAGCTACCCACTCGTGGAATTCTGGGCTAGCATTTGCATCAGTGGGTGGTTGGGGTGATGAGGCAGTAATGCCTTTCTGAAGTTGTAGCTGCGTACATGCACTCAGAGTATAAATTATGTACACTGAAGAAGTCTGTGAAAGTCAGGAATTCTGTGTCCTGGATTAGGGTCAGTGACTGGGGAGGTTACTTGGGTCAGAACTTTGAACTGAGTCCTGCTGAAAGTTTCAGCACCTGTGAGAATGGAGGCCTCAGGGAGGGAGAGGATCCATCATGCTGCGGGGTGGGATGGGTGTACGGGGAATCCTAGAGGTCATTCCTGTGACTGCTCAGGTGTCCCTACCCTCCGTCACCAGGGACTGAGCCACTCCAGGGCTTCTGTCTCCACCAGGAGAGTCTAGAATGTGGAACCTTCTAGAAGTACCTCTTTGAAACTTTCCCTTTGAAATTTCTGAATGTGGGCTTTCCTTCTGTCCTGGGGAAGCAGGCTGCTCATCTGCGCTGAGTCCAGGGTTTCTTTCCTTTGGATTTCTTTTTTTTTTTTTAACTTTTTTTTTTTAATTTTTATTTATTTATGATAGTCACACACAGAGAGAGAGAGGCAGAGACATAGGCAGAGGGAGAAGCAGGCTCCATGCACCAGGAACCCGATGTGGGATTTGATCCAGGGTCTCCAGGGATTCGATCCCGGGTCTCCAGGACCGCACCCTGGGCCAAAGGCAGGCGCTAAACCGCTGCGCCACCCAGGGTTCCCTCCTTTGGATTTATTGATTGACGAGGGCAGCCCTTTGGCTCTGGCTCCCCCCCCTCCCTCCGCCAGACTTGGGCTCCTACACTGTAAGTTGATTGAGAGATAGAGTGTGAAGAAAGGTAGAAAATTCTGGAAACCAAGTAGAATCTGTGATCTGTTTAATCACATGAATGTTAAGATATATGATGAACATGTTTAAGTTCATCTTAACACATTAAGTCATTTGTTATTTTTATTTTTTTAATTTTTAATTTTTTTAAAATTTATTTATGATAGTCACACACACACACACAGAGAGGCAGAGACACAGGCAGAGGGAGAAGCAGGCTCCATGCACCGGGAGCCTGATGCGGGATTCGATCCCGGGTCTCCAGGATCGTGCCCTGGGCCAAAGGCAGGCGCCAAACCGCTGCGCCACCCAGGGTTCCCCTCATTTGTTATTTTTAGATTAGTTTTTGTATGTGTATGTTCTGAGGCAACATTGTAAAAAAAGAAGATGAGCTGTCATGGTGCTGGAGGAGGTCCCCCCTTTCCCATCCCCTTTGGCTCCCGGGGGAGCTCCTTGGGCATACCTGAGAAAATCAATGGGAGTTCCTAGAGTTCAGGGACGACACCTCCCCATTTATACATGGTGCTTAGGCAAACTCACTGCTTTTCATGCCTTCTCAGCTGGGATGTAAAGCTGGGATGTAGAACAAGGTATTGAATGGAAGTTGGTCCTCTCTTCTAAGTCTTGGGATGCAGGCCTCAAGGAGCGCCATAATGGGTTATTGACATGAGTTCAGATATGAATGAAAGATGTTCTGTTTCTGTCATCAGGGATGAATGTTAATGCATCTGTCTTCATCTTTTTTTTTTTTTTTTTTTGGCTTGTAGACTTTATTTTTCAAAAAAAATTTTTAAAGATTTTTATTTATTTGTGAGAGACACACACACAGAGAGGCAAAGACTTAGGCAAAAAAACAGGTTCCATGCAGGGAGCCCTATGTGGCACTTGATCCTGGGACTTCAGGATCACGCCCTGGGCCGAAGGCAGGTGCTCAACCTCTGAGCCACCCAGGCATTCCAAGTTTACTTTTTCTAATTTTTAAATTTATTATTTTTTAAAGATTTTATTTATTTACACATGAGATACACACACACACACACACACACACACACACACAGAAAGGGAGAGAGAGGGGATCCCTGGGTGGCGCAGCGGTTTGGCGCCTGCCTTTGGCCCAGGGCGCGATCCTGGAGACCTAGGATCGAATCCCACGTCGGGCTCCCGGTGCATGGAGCCTGCTTCTCCCTCTGCCTGTGTCTCTGCCCCTCTCTCCTCTCTCTCTCTCTCTCTCTCCTCTCTGTGACTATCATAAATAAATAAAAACTTAAAAAAAAATAAAAAAAAGAAAGGGAGAGAGAGAGAGAGAGAGAGAGAGGGAGAGGCACTAAACCACTGAGCCACCCAGGCTGCCCTATGTTTTTCTAAAGAACAGTTATGTTTACAGAAAATTTGATCAGAAAGTGCAGACTTCCCATATAACTCCTCTGCCTGGACACTGTCATATATATATACACATATATATGAAGAGTTCATAAAAGAAATATATACACACACATATCTATACACACATATTTCTTTTTATGAACAGCATTTTTTTAACATTAATTTTTAAAAACCTCTACATTCAATGTGGGGCTTGAACTCATGACCCAGGGATTAAGAGTTGCATGCTGTTTCAGCTGAACCAGCCAGGCATCCCTGTTGTAATATTTTATGTCTTGTATTACTTTGGTGCATTTGTTAAATTTGATGAGCCAACTTTGAAGTAGTTTACTTTAGGGTTGACTCATACAGTCTCAGGTCTTGAGCTAACATGAAAAAACATGTTTTTATCGTTTCTGTAACATAGAGAATATTTTTATTGTCCTAAAATCTCATGTGTTCCCCACCCCTCCACCCTCGTTCATCCCCTGGCAACCAAAGATCTTTTAGTATCTTTTACTTTTATCTTTCCCAAAATGTCATATGCTTGGAATTGTATGGTGTGTAGCCTTGTCATATTGGCTTCTTTCACTTAATATGATTTTAAGGTTTCTCCGTGTGTTTTTGGCTTTGTAATCTCATTCCTTTTTATAACTGAAGAATATATCATTCTGTGGATTTACCAGTGATTGTTTATCCATTCGCCTGTGTTTGTTTTGTTTTGTTTTGTTTTTTGAGTAAACTCTGTCTCCAACGTTGCGCCTGACTGAACTCACAACCTCAAGATCTAGAGTTACGTGATCTACCAACTGAGCCAGCCAGACATCCCCATTTGCCCATGTTTTGTGCTGGTCTCAGCTTGTCTGTACCAATTGCTGTGGTTGGACTGGTCCTTGTGGTTCCTATTATGCTTGTAAGGCTCTCTTCAGCAATAACCAACAGGAAACTTTGTAAACAATTTCTTTTTTATAACCTAGAGGATCTGGAAATTAGCACACCCAGGGCTACACATCATCCATGTCCTGATAGACAGTACACAGGCTTGCTTTCTTATTTTATTGGTCTAAGGGGGAGCTGTGGTTTTATTGACTACTCATTATTGG